TGCTGGAAATCACGAATACTCTGGCAGAGGGCACGGTACAGGGTACGTCCCACAAGGTCTTCCTGGCGATCCGAGCAAGTTGCGAAAACAATGTCGGACCAACACTATATTCATATTAATTGCATTTGAAACATTATGTAACTCTTGAATAAGATTTATACAAATTCTACTAATAACAGTAGGCCGGACTGGGTATCTTCCACAAAGTCTCATTGTCGCTCTTATCAAGTTGTGAATCCATTATCTTAGCCTTCATATTTACGATCTAAAAATTTCGGTCAAGAATTTTCTAATAAGTACCGGATACAAAAGGCTGAATCCTCGCCCCGTAGTACTGACAACGATAATCTGGGCAATGCTGGTGGAAAACAGGGTGACCTACCAATTTTGCTCGTTTGGAATGAGACCTGGCCTGAATCCGGGAGGAACAACAGAGACTATCGCAAACAAACACACATCCACACACGTAAGCAGACACATACAGCGAGAAGAAGACACAGCGTCTGTAGGCAGATCTACTGTGCGGCTGTCTGTCCGCCCCATGCCAACCCGGGCAGGACACAGTCCAGATAGTCTGATGGCCTGACTACCTGGCGGCCTAGAACCGAGGTCAGTATGACCATGTCGTGTTAATGCTAATCCTTGTCTCTCCTCTCCTCCTATTGGCCTAAACAGGTTCGCGTGAGTTGTGTGCATGCCCACGTCGAGGCGGCCGGTGATTGCTTGTCCTCTTCTGCTATGGCACTAACTCTTGCCTTCTCCATCTTTCTTTGTCCCTCGCACCGAGTGTCAAGTCAATAGACACGAGGGTATCTGAGACCACCACACTTAATTACCCTCATCTCACGACTTTTGTGATATAGTACGTGGGCCATAAAACTCCGCCAAGACTACCGGTAAACAATTGAGCCATTTGGCACCAGACGAATAGCAATTTTCCACACTCTCTGCACCCACCACTGCCGCCTCGAGCGGCGTATCCGGCATGCCGGAAGCCTGGATTTCGGCGCATGCCAATCCACGCGGAACCCCTTCGACTGGGTGCCATCGACTGCTGATCCGATATACGTGGTTACGGACTCGGGCCGTCTGAGCCGGTGGATAGAAGGCGCTTTTTTGGTCCGTCTCATCTGTCCGACCAAGTGGACGTCAGGTGGTGAGGTTAAAGACGCTTGACCCTAAATGCCGGCCTCCGAGCCGTTGTCAACAGAAAAACTCGGCTCGGATTCATATGCTCCCTTGTCTGTGACGCATGTGCATGGATAACTCAACTTCACCCAATATGGATTAGCCTGCAACAAGCTCATCCTGGTCGCGCCCCCCCTAGCCTGGCTCTTGAACATTGCTAACACTTGGGTAAGCAGGACCATTGCCTTTTCTCCATGTCTGTATGCAACTAACAAGGCTGTATTACATCTGTGGAGGCTGTAGTGGCGGTAGAATTTTCCAAAAAGTGTGGAATAATCGTTGGGCCCACTTGAATTTAAAGTGAAAGTATGCTTCATGAAGTGATTTGCAATTCGATCCCACCAGAAGACGACGTTATCAGAGTAATGTATCTTTCTTTTGGCCATTTTGGGATGCAAGGCTGAGTAAAATTAAACGGAATCATGAGGCTTGCTTATCTTACTGTGGGAAAAATCAACTATCAGTCCCTAAATCACCAAAGTGACTAGGTTAATGTTGCGAATGACTGTTATTCTCGAAAGTTACTAACTCTTTTTTGTGTCAACCTGACTAATTTTATATTGGTGTCCTTTTCATTTGGAAAGCAAAGTTGGCTAGAAGGGACTAGTAAATTGGTCACATCAGAAACCAAAGAAAGGTTTACTTGCCACAGTCATTATTGGATTGTGCGAAGAAATCCTAGGGCTCCGATCTAGCCTTGCTGAATGTATTATTCTAAATCCACATATTTTCATATAAATTATTTACTTGTCATGGGCTATGGCAGATTTACATGTGCACTCCATGGAACAAAGCAATAGCCACCAGCATAAGTAAGTATAATCCATCAGGGGCGAGCAGTTCTTTTTTATTTGTTGTTTTGATTATATGAAATCTAATGGTATCTTAAAGTTTTTGCAAGAATGGGATCCTGCTTCAACGATGTCTGTCAGAAGAAGCTTATCTCGTTTTCATTGAAATTCAGGAAGGCTGTCAACTTGTCTGTCTTCATAATCTTGCTTCTATAAGTTTAATTAAACAAAGATGCAAGCTTAAATCAAGATCAAAAATCCAAATCTACTTCTGACAGCAAAATTCTGTACCAAAGATTCATTTGTTAACAGATATCGTATTATATAAAATGTGTAGTCTCGAAAAACCTACTCAATAACGAAAAAAGTTATCGTGTTAGTTCTCTCTTTCAACTGGCCACTGTTTCATTTTTATTTTGTTCCCCAGTTATACGAATAAACGAGAAAGAATATTAGAGAGAATGAAAAATGGATATAGAGAGAAAGGTGGATCTGTGAGAATGAAACAAAAAATGCAAACTGTTCTCTTACCCTGTATAGAAGACCTGGTTATTCCATCTAGACCCTTCTGGGTCGTTGTGTCAAGACGAATTTGTAGAAAGTATGCTGTCGTGGTCTCTTAAAGCTTTAGTCACCTTAGGTCGCTCGAGGTGATGAAGGAATAAGTTGTGATGAAAAATAGGTGTTTACTGTAAATATGAGGATCAAGATTATGTGGTATTTGGTTTGGTCTTAGCCTTCTTCTTTTGGACTTGTATTCATGACTTTGCCGTATTGATAGGGCAACTTCAGCCAGGACAATCGGCGTACCGAATCAATGATTAAATCCTGGAGGGAAAATTGACAACCTTATTTGAATTAATTAATAAAGGATATTTAGAAGGCCTAGCATACCTTAAAACTCACTTCTTGCCTTTAACCGACTGGCCCTAGTAACAATGTGGCGTTCTGGCAACATGTCGAGTTCGAATCCCACTAAGGGTGTTGATGAGATTTGCGAAGTCGAAATATCAGTTGGCTGTTGGTAAGAAAACCCTTTGGAAGAAGTGAATTTCAAGGTAGGCTAGGCCTTTTTAATATCAGTGGAATTTTTCCTCCTAGAAGTAGGCTCTCATTGCTATCAGTAGATTATATACATAGGGCGTATTGATCCTATTTCGTTTTAAGTCTACTTATCACCTTAAATGAAATAGGGTGAATACACCTTATATATCATTGGGATTTTATGATGAATCAAACATGTATTTGCCACTGCAATATTCGAAGTTATCAGGAGTTCGTCATATCAGTAGAGATTAAGGCCACCTTAAGCGACATAAAGTGACTAAAGTTGTTATTCAAGCTTTACCGATAGTCTTGAAATACTATTCAACTTGAATAATGTTGTAAATTTTCCCTCCAGCATTGGATTATTGATTCGGTACGTTGATTCTCCGATCCCGGAACACGACATAACAACCATTGTAAAGAAGGCAGTACATGGTAC